CGTATTAATGCACCTGCTCTGTGATAGTCTCAGGGTTCTGTTCAAAGCGCAGAGAGCATCATGAAGACCAAGGAACACACCAGGCCGGTCCGAGATACTGTTGTGGAGAAGTTTAAAGCCAGATTTGGATACAAAAATATTTCCCGAACTTTAAACATCCCAAGGAGCACTGTGCAAGCAATCATATTGAAATGGAAGGAGTATCAGACCACTGCAAATCTACCAAGACCCGGCCGTCCCTCTAAACTTTCATCTGGAACAAGGAGAAGACTGATCAGAGATGCAGCCAAGAGGTCCATGATCACTCTGGATGAACAGCAGAGATCTACAGCTGAGGTGGGACAGTCTGTCCATAGGACAACAATCAGTCGTACACTGCACAAATCTGGCCTTTATGGAAGAGTGGCAAGAAGAAAGCCATTTCTCAAAAGATATCCATAAAAAGTGTTGTTTAAAATTTGCCACAAGCACCTGGGAGACACCAAACATGTGGAAGAAGGTGCTCTGGTCACATGAAACCAAAATCCAACTGGTTAAACTGTTAAAATTTGCCATTAGAAACGCCCAAAAATGACCTTTTGACCCAAAATGGCCAACTTCCTGTTGATTTTGGACCAGCGCTCAAAGAGACTTTTTCATAGGTCCTGACAAGATATAGATGTTCGCCGAGTTTCAGAATTATCGGTCCAAAAATGGCTTGGGGCTGAGGTTTTAAAATATTCTAGGGGGTGCTGTGGAGGCTATTGGGTAATTATCATGGCTTCCTGTTCAAGGGGTGGATAATGATCGATCGTACTGATTTTGGTGCACCTCTGTTCAAATCTGTGGAATTTAGAGCCAATCATATGGCGACGACGTTACGTCTTACTTCGCTATGTCACGACGCCCACATGCTCCACCCCAAACTGTCAGTGTTGGAAAGCAAGTTACACCAATGTCTTAAGTCACTGGACACACTACCATGCTGATCAGGTGACGGGCCAGATGGGGACCATTCAACGTAAAACTTTCTACTTCCTGTTGCCAGGGGGCGTGGCTTAAGTGATGTCATGATTTGACCATTCAGTCTTGCAGGGGACAGGATGTGGATCAATCACTGAAGGTTTGATGTCTCAGACAGTTTGGAATCCAATCCGTTTCTGTAGCGATTTTTGCCACGCCCTTAAAATACGTAATTTTTCACCAGTCCTGATGTGTCCGCCAAATTTGGTGACTTTTGGGATATGTTAAGGCCTCCAAAAGGCCAATTCGTTTGAAGGAAAAAATTGCCGCTCGAGCCTGAGCAAAGCGATTACAATAGGCCTTCGCAGCTCTTCGCAGCTCAGGCCTAAATATGAACTGGTTTCAGTGGTGATTTGAGCCTCTTTAAATTTAAACTGGGCATCCCTGGAAAAATAAACAAAATCATTAGGATTGTGTAAGTAGCCATCTTTGTGAAAAGAAATCGTCCATCATTAAACGGGGTGGAGGCCTCTGGGTTCAACTGTCCCCCTCTTACAATGCTGTGATTGCTAGTATCACTCAGCCCTCTGTGAACAGTAAACAGCCATCAGGTGCTAATGATCCATTGTTAGGCTGATGGTCCTTCTTGAGCATGTGAGCAGCTGGTTTTGGTTGTCAGCAGCAAACTGGTTGATCCACCCTGAGAAGGTGCTATTTAAGAGACTGAGCTGAATACAGCACCTCAGACTGAGGAAGTCTCTCGGATGAGAGACGAAACGTTTCTACATTTTTTGTTTTGTTTTTTTAACATCCAGAGGACCTGACTTAACTTTTTTAAGACTTATTTATTTTTCTGTCTTGAAGAGATTCTCATCTCAACTTGACGTTTTGTGTACAAAATCGGAAATCGGATTATGGTTCGTTAGATGATTTTTCGTTTTGGTTTAATAAACGGAAAACGAAAAAACAAGTGTGGGTTTTTTTTTCTTTCGATTTTTGTTTCAAAAGAAAAAACGAACTGCCTGAATGTACACGGACCAAAGGGCCCCCAGACCAGGATTTGCACCAGGGCAACCTGTTCGTTGAGAGGCAGCAGCTCTACCAACTGCTCCACCGTGCTGCTCCATTCTTAAAAAACCTTATTATTATTTTTGTTTAATTTCCAAGTTTGACAAAAAGTTCTGGTTTGTATCATTTATGGAGCAGAATATAATGCAGTGGTAGACAACATGCAGCTTGGGAGCCATATTTGGCTTGTGCTTCATAACCATTATACAAGGCAACACAGTAGTACAGTGGTTAAAACTACTTGCAGCAAGAAAGTTATAGGTTCAATTCCCGGCTGTGGCCTTTCTGGGTGGAGTTTACATGTTCTCTTCGTGCTGCGTGTGTTTCCTCCACAGACCAAAAACATGCATGTTAGACTGATTGGTAACTCCAATGGTCTCTAGGCATGACTGATTGTTGTCTCTGTGTCCCTGTGACGGACTTGCAGCCTGTCCTCCAGAGTGTACCTCGTCTCTCGCACAGTGACCCGACCCAGTAAGGAAGAAGCTGGCAGAAATGATGTCTAGTGAAGGATGGGTTAGCGTTCATTATGGAATGCAGCAATTTTTCATCACAAATGTGTAAGGCAGAATATATGAGATGAACTTTCCTACTTTTTGTTTGTTACAGGCGCCATGACCCTCTGCACGCCCCTCCATGACATTTGATCTGCACTTATCTGTCCCTCCCCCGACGCTCAAACAATATCATGAACAGTCTGTGATTTCATAGGAAGTGTGGAAAAACTATATAGAACATGAAAAGGAAATGATGATGGAGGCAGCACTCACAGTTCACTACGGTTGTATGCAAATTAAAATTTCAACTTTAAAGGGTTTTTTTTTTAGCACTGCAACACTTGTTTTGCTCTTTTCATGGGAGCTGATCAGTTTAAAAAAAAACATATATATATATAATTGACAAAATACAGTCTGAAGATGTAAATGTAATCCTTGAAATGTTGCATTTCTATAAAAATATTTTATTAAAATTAACCAACCAGTAGAGCAGCTTCTTTTTATAAAGAACATTTTCAATTCTTCTGCAATGCAGCTTTAATTTATGATTTACTGACAAGCTGCTATTTTCAGACGTGACCTGCCATTTCCACTCGAGTGTGTTAAATGAGTCCTGCTCAGAATGCTGCTGCACCTGGTCCAGCTACATTTTGTTTTTTAGTGTTAGGCTCTGATGGAGCTGACGATGGAGCTGGTGATGGAGCTGGAGGGAGTGTGTGGGGTCGAATCTGCAGGTACGCAAAGGTTCCAGAGGAGGTCATGTGGAACTGAGAACCAGGTCTGCTTCAGAAGGAAAACAAAAAATCACCTTGTGACATGAAAACAAGTCACCTGACCCTGAACAAGTGGAAAATAAAATATTCTCAAATAAGTATAAGTTTGTCTTTTTAAAGTTATATTTTCTACAACTGGTTTGAGAACTGAGTGAGATCACATTGTTGTGTCAAATTATTTACTGATAGTGAAACGTTGACCTTTGACCTGTATGTGCTTCAGAAACAACAGCAAATCTGGTCATTAGTCCTCCCTGGACCCCTGGAGGAGCAAAAGCTTAGAATGTAACTGAGAACAACAAAACTCAGCTGAGGTTAAACATCTGACCCAACTGCATTTACCTTTACCTACAGAGGTGGTTTGTTTTTTTAAAGATGGATGTCATTTTAATTTTGATCTGTTTTGATCCTGTACGCTCCACACTGGTTTGTCGTCATATTTATTATCTGCATCGTTTTTATGTCTATTCTGATTTACCTCATTTTGTGTATTGCTTTGTGTTCTGTCTGTACAGCACTTTGGTTGGCCTTGTCGCTGTTTTAAGTGCTCTATAAATAAAATTACACATGTTTAACTGGGATTTGTTTGCTTGATAGAAACTTATAATCTGGGTCAAATGGAGTTTCTTCATCTGAATTGTGATAAAAGGTCAGAGGGTTTCCATCTATATATATATATATATATATATAAATAAATAAATAAATGTATAAAAGCCAAAGAGGCGCCGTCCTGCTTTGTATCCATTTTGCGCTTGGAAACCATTTCGTAGTGGAGGCTGCGCAGAGTTCAACAGGCTCCCACGGCCAGAACCGCTCAGAACCCAAACTAACATGACTGGACACATTAAAACAGGGCAGGCGAAAACTGAGGAGCACCGAGCGCCATCTTAGAAACGGCCAAGCTTCGTGTACGAGCGAGGCAGGCCTGTCATTCCCCGATCTGTTGACGAGGCCTTTGCCTCCGCTGCCGCCGCCATCTTGGAAAGTGGCTGGATGGCGGCACTAGTGACGGAAGAAAGCTAGCGTTCAGATTTAACCAGTTAAGAGTACCAGTGCTTCACCCTGGCTTGCATTGTGCCTCAAAATGAGCAAACAGCTTGCCGCCATCAAGCGCACTTATTAATGTCACGTAACATCACCAAGTCAACGGAGTAAAGCTTGACCAGATCGATCCTGACAGAGATAAGTTGGTATCGCTATTAGCTGCCTTTTTGGTTTCTTCTGGAAGCACATGTAATTTAAGGGAAGAATTTTTATTTAGGCATTGCTGAACAACGTGTTTATAGATTACATTTCTATTCATAAGTTCAAATAAAAGGGTTTTTTTTAATGTTTGTGTAAATTCTAGAACATTGATTTACCTTGATGATGATTAACGGTTTATACATATGTAAATAAATGCACATAATCAGTGCATCACTGCTAATAGTGATGACAATGTATTCAAATTTAGCATATTGTTGGTAAAAAGTGACACTGCTCTCTGTAAAAACGCTGCGCTTTGAATTTCAAAGTATCGGATCGGTAGTAGTGCGACAACCAAACCGGATCGATACAAAAATGTACACGAGAGCAAGTATACGCCTCCTCTTCCGCCTCTACTCTAAACAGACCACGTGGTTTAAAAACGTAAACAGGAGTAGGCGGGAGTGGGCGGAGTCATCTGGAGAAGGCGGAGTCAGAGGGGAGCTCAGCGAAGAGTGACAGCGGGAGAGAGAGAAAGAGAAAACTGTTCTCTTGATCGGTCCCGCCAGAGTTCTCCCACTCTTCCACCATCACCAGTCCAGTCCAGTCCCGTTCGACAGAGCCCACAGGCTGCCGGAGCCGGCTGTGGATTGGATTTACATTACCGCCTGGTTCACTTTCAAACCTGGTTTTTTGGGTTGGTTTTTTATTTGTAATTTGGAACTCTTTCCGTGATTTATTTTATTATTTCTCCTCTTTAGCGCGATTCCCACTTTCTGTTCGGAGTGTGACATCTTGTTGCGCTAAACTTTTTTCTCCGTTCTTTGCGATAGATTTTTTAAAACTTATCCCCCCCTCCATATTCTTCATTATTTCTGACCACCCAAGCGTTTTTCCACCATGCACAAGCTGTATATCGGGAATCTAGGCGACAGCGTGACCGCCGAGGACCTGATCAAAACCTTCGACGAGCACAAGATCCCGTACTCCGGACAGTTCCTCATGAAGAACGGCTACGCCTTCGTGGACTGTCCGGACGACCAGTGGGCCATGAAGGCCATCGAGACGTTCTCTGGTAAGACCTCCATTCATCTTCAGTCCCCCGTCCCCGTCCCCCCACCTCCGAGGTAGTAAACACGTTTCTTTCAGCGATGGTGGGGGTGTGTGAGGGGGACTCCTTCAGCTTCTGTAAGGGAGGGGGGACAGCTGAACACAAACTGTATTAACATGATATACCCGAGTATTGGTGCTCCCCCCCCCGGAGGTGACGGATCTCCCACCCTGTGTCCTGCACAGGTCTCCAGGGACTCTGCAGGGTCTTAAATCTGGGTGAGACCAGCTCCACGGAGCCTAGTTTACATGAGAAGGTGTCATGGGTCCTGCTGCATTCTTAGGAAGAAGCCTTTGTTGCTGCATGTGGACCTCCATGTTTAAAGGCTGACGGAGTGTTGGTGAACTTCTTGTAGACTCGTTCAGCACGCTCGTGTCGGGCTGCTCCCCAGCCTGGGTTCATTTTTAGTTTGATTACGAGCTCAAATCCAAAGTTACGCGTGGACTGACCCTCCCCCCTTCTGTCTCCAGGCCTGTTGGCTAACTGTTAGCATGTAGCACTGACGCCCCCTCCTCGTTTTGTTTCTTCTCTCAGGTAAAGTGGAACTTCACGGGAAACGTATTGAGGTTGAACACTCCGTCCCCAAAAAGCAAAGGTACTGAAAAACACCAGCACTTGTTTCATCACCACTCCTTCTCACAATCCGCTTTCCTGTTGCTTGGACTGAAAAAGCTGCGTTTTCCTGGATAAAAAGCTCCAGATGGGTTCAGGAAAGCTGGTCTCCAGCACAGGTGTTCAACTTGATTCTGTTTGGTGGCGTTAACGTGTTCGGCCAACACCGAAGGACCTCAGAAAGCTTTCAGCGCCTGCTGGGCGACAGTTGTTGATTTATTAAATTATTATTAATATTAAAGATCTGGTTTTATTGGAGGCACGGAGTGAGTCAGGGAGTGTAGATAATACAAGCCCTGCTCTAGTTCTGGTTACACTTTTTAAATAAACGCAGATTGCATGACATGTTAGGTGTGGTGTGTTTTGGACGAGTTTTTCCAAATGCATTAATCAGGATAGTTATTACGCACTTTTTATTAATTTGTTCCATTAATGGCTTTAGGCGGATTGTGTATTTGTGGCTGATTCCATTCACGTCTTTAAAATTTATAAACGTCCATTTGTGTTTATTGTATTGCCTTTGTCTATTTTTGCTTAATAAATGTAATTGATATGGGTGGACATGAATGTAAAATATTCCCGTTGAGAAGCGTTTCAGTGATGGATTAAAACTTGTTTTTAATGGTTATTTGAGTCGAGCAGCGGATTTTAACAGCATTATGGATCAGAACCAGAGCTCATCATTCCTATAACCTTTGGCACAGATACACAGCTCCGCGTGTGTGTGCGCGCGCTCGTCGGCCAACTTTGGCTTTAAATGAACGTTAACATGAAGAAATCATGATTTTTGTAGTTTATGCGACCACAACTACCAGAATTATCCAATTGGGGCCATTTTTAGGTGTCCGCCCTGCTGCCTGAATGCACACAAAATGGTGCAGCTCCGTCAGCGTAGTTGATAAATAAAGTTGGAGTTTGTCTCGAACTGGTTGAACAGATAAAACATGTTACATGTGTGTAACGTGTTGAGGGTGGAGCCGCTGAAAGGAGCAGCGCTCGGTTGGATGTAAAATGTGCCAGCGGGTCGCTCAGTTATTAAGTGTTCGCTGTTGTGTGTGTGTGTGGCGGGGCCTCCGTGCTGTCAGCGTTCAACAAACGGTGACTAGTAATGATCTGTACGGCTGAGGGTCGGGGAGACGCCGTGGGGGGGTCAGAGGCCTTCCACGGCTCCATGGTGCGTTCACGTACAGAGACCACGTCAGGCGGTGAGAGCAAAATGGCGCCGCCTCGTATGAATGAAACGGTGTGTAGAAAGCAGCCTCCAGTCTCCCCCCTCCCCCGGTCTCCCTCGCCCCTCCAGCCCGCTGTGAGGGTAAGACGAGCCGGTTCGTTTGCTGCCGGGTGTCGTCACTTGTGCTGGTCAGAACCACGCGGAAACTCCCCCAACCTTCTCCTAAAATGGCCGTTCAGAGTCCAGCGAGCCTAAAAACCGAGTTCATTGAAGTATTCACGAGGCTCGTCTCATCAGAGTTCACGTGCTGACTTATTTCACAGAATAGTCTGTTAAAAATAAAATAAACTAGTTGTATGAAACAGCTGTTGTTAAATAATCCACATGTGTAGGCTTCATCAGAGTTCTATAATTTATTTCTCATTGTTGGTGTAGAGGAAGGAACTGGTGTAAGAACAGGGAGGACACCTCCACACCCCCCAGGTGCTTCACCCTGCTGTTGTTTGTGAAATGCAGTGGAGGTGTGTGTCTGCGTGGGAGTGGGTGGAGGTGTTGGGGGAGGGGCACTCCGCCTTCTAGAAGAATGAGTCCATTCCTGCTGCACTAAGGGCTCCACATGGACCTGGCTTTGACCCCTGACCACACTGAGCCGTGTAAAAACGAGCTTTTAAACCCCCTGAAGGCAGCTGGGGTGTGTGTCAGGCCGTGCAGGATTTGTGGAAATTGGTGGTCATCGTGGAGGGGCTGCTTGAAGGAGGTGGTGCTCAAAGGAAACGAGGCAGCCTGTCTGCAGAATAAAGGAACGTACAGTCAGAGTTGTTGAACAATGTGTGCGCTCAGATGAAAGCATGAAGCACTTTTTACACAGCAAGTCCCACACTTTGATGTTTTTACATAAAAATAAGCAAACTTTGTTTTAAACTCGTTTTATTTTACCCGTGTTTTTAATGTGAAGAGAATCTAGTTCTGGCTGACGTATTTTATTGTCTCACACACGTTAAAGTGTCTAAACTTGTTTTTGTTTTTTTTCTTGGTTCACAGTTTTTACAGTTTTGAGTGTTTTAGTGTAATTTTGGACTTTTTATTATTTTTTTTCCAAGTTGGTCATTTTTTTCTTGTTGTTTTTAGTATTTTGCTTCAAATCACTTGCTGAAACGTTTAAATTTAACTGGGAGTATTTTAATGCTGGCCTGGGTGGTGCTGTGACTCCAGCAGGGGTGTAGTCAAAACAAGTCCCGTTTAGAACGAACGAGAAACGAGCGCATCATTTGAGTGTGTGTGATCAGTGTGTGTGTTAATGAGTGTGTGTGATCAGTGTGTGTGTTAATGTGTGTGTGATCAGCGTGTGTGTTAATGTGTGTGTGATCAGCGTGTGTGTTAATGTGTGTGTGATCAGTGTGTTAATAAGTGTGTGATCAGTGTGTTAATGAGTGTGTGATCAGTGTGTGTGATCAGCGTGTTAATGTGTGTGTGATCAGTGTGCGTGTTAATGTGTGTGTGATCAGTGTGTGTGTTAATGTGTGTGTGATCAGTGTGTTAATCAGTGTGTG